TTTCTGATTCTTTCTCTCACAATCATCTATCACTCTTCCTCACTCTGATGGCCATAGCTACCATTTTGTGAGCTGCCTTACAGAGAAATCCATGCAGCAAATAAAGGGCTGGCTTTCAACCAACATCCATCAGGGAAAACGGAGACAATGCAAGAGGAACTGAATTCTGCCAACAAGCACCAAGTGAGTTTGGAAGCGGAGCCTGCCTAGGCTGACATTTTTACTGCAGACTTAAGAGAGACAGGAGCCAGAGGACCCAGCTAAACCACACCCAGAATCTGATGCCCAGAAACCGAAAGAAAGTAAGTAATTGTTTCTTTCCAAAGAGTTAAGTTATGAGACAATGCTTAAAACAGTAATAGATAACTATTTCAAGTATCTAGAGAAAAGATAAAATCTACAACTTCAATAATTAATTCTTGAGAGTATTATTCCTAAGATTGGGAATAAGAGAAGTATACATACCTGTCATCAACACTTATTTTGGACCTAATTTTTCCTGGAGATTGTAGGCATATAATCAACAATTTTTAAAGGTAATATTTATTTTGCAGCAGTTTCAAAAGCATCTGCATCTTAGAAATAAACTAATAAAAGGAGTTCAAAAATTTAAACAGAAAACTATAAAAAATAATTGGAAGAAATTAAATTCTAAGCAAGACCTTATTCATAAGTCTTTTTTTTTTAGATTTATTTATTTATTTATACAAGCACTGGGTACAGTCAGAAGCGTGGGAGGGTGAGAGAATTCACCAGAACCAGAGCAGGTAGCAGAACAGGCAGACTGATGAAGTACACTGCTGAGGGGAGCTGCGGGCGATAGGAGAGGTCTGCGTGCCATGTGGGACCCTCGCCCGGTGGCTGGGGATTGGACTGGTGCTGCAGAGGCTGCAGGAAGCTTCACAACCCAGCCCTCAACTGTTGAGCCACCAGGGGAGGCCCTTATTCATAAGTCTTAAAAATCAATCTTTTAAAAATGATAATACTCTGCAAACTGATCTATAAGTTCACTGAAATGCCAAAGGTTCAGGTGAATTTCTGAGATGCTGATAGGCTGATTCTAAAACGTGTATGGAATAGTAAAGGGCTATGGATAATCAAAAACTTTTGAAAAAGAACAACAAAACTGTACCAATTATACTGACATATCTCAAAGCTTATTATAAACTAAGCAATCAAGTTTTGTAAAATTGGAGGAAGGACACATACATAGACCAAAACAGAACCACATATATACATCTGAACTTTAAAATTGTGATGCTACATTGCATTGAAACAAAGATGGTCTTCTATGAAAAAATTGAATTTTTTATTTGCATATCTACATGAACTTATATGACTTTTGTCTTCCAACTCTCACCATAAACCAATACCAATTCCAGACTGTATTTATAATCGTGAGAGGTAAACTTCATTTTTCTGAATAAGAATAGCAAAGATTCTTAAACTGAACACATACACACCCCAGAACTATTAAACATTAATGAAATGTTTGAAAATTGTATGACATTAAAATTAAACCCCTTTGTGCATGAAGCAATCATTATTGAGAGAGTTAAATGTAAAGTCAAGACAGGAAGGAAAAATTCACTATGCATAAATTTGACAAAGGGTTGATATACAGAATATACAAAGATCTCATATATCAAGGAGACAAAGAAAACTTCAGAAATAGGATATTCAAAAAGGAGGAATAAAAACCCTGCCACACAACAACCTGGATGGGGCTAATACATATGTAGCAAGAAAGCAAGGCAGGCTGAAAAATGCACATGGTCTAAGATTCCATTCACACAATGAACAGTAAAAGGCAAGATTAATCTATTGTGTTGAAAATTAGGGAGTCGCTGTCTTAGGTATGGTGACTAGCAACTGGATGTGTAGCGAGGATTTTCATAAGAATCTATTACTTAGCTTACCACTATTACATGAGTATGTTCAACTTAAATTCAGCTTACAGTGCAGTATCTTCTGTAATATTCTGTAGGCCTTCTTGTGTAATTTACAAATAGATAGGTAATCATTATGGGGATTAATATTCTAAGCATCATTCTAAATGTCTCCACCCAAGATAATCCTTACCCCAAATTGCCATTCTCAGCAGTTTTAGGTGAGCTGGATCAAAATGAATTAAAGCTTGAAAATGTTGTTCAGAAGCATTTTGCTTATGTGTAAGTATACAGAGAGATCGTTTTACCTTTGCTTTGCAAGTACATACACACAAGCACACATACATGTGCATGGACACGCACACACACCCACAAACGTACCTGGAAGTGTGATTTGCAGCAGACATTTTTCCAGACATTGCTAGACCTAGGAAGTGGGGTCTGGATGGGATTATAATAAACATTACACATGCAATTACTATTTTTGAACCTTGAGTCCCCAACCTGCAATTTCAGTAGTCCCAGGCCAGTGCAATATTGCTCTCACTAATCCCTTCAACTTATATGCTGTGATCCCCAGGTGTTCTTGTCATTTTACAAAAGCCCTGCCAGCTCACTTTCCATCTATTATTTTCTTCCTTGTCTCTTCTGTTAGCAAGGCTGCTACAGAGGCCCGTGCTGCCCATAAAATTTCATAAGATCCCCCACTGCGGTTATGGCTTCCGTCAGCACTCATTCTTAAGTTCTCTAAAGCTTCCCTGTGGCGGGACAGTCACCAAGCTGTGCTGAACACACCAGGCCTGACTCCTCGGATGTACTGGGTCCAGGCAGAATCAGTGCTTCTGCCATTTTGCAAAGACCCAGTGCTGGAAACTGTGCCACGATTCAGAAACTCTGCATCTAGATTTAGAGATTATAATGAAAACAAACACAGGCAGAAAACAACAATATTTAAAAATAAAACAAACCAAAAAGCTTTAACATGTGTAATGTATTCCATGGGTATATGTTATATATTTTTGTCAAAAATAGGACTTAAATATTTTTAAATATTCATGTACAGTACTCTGAGATTTCAGGAATGCAATTGGGAGGTTGTATGAGTGTGTACTACATGCAAATATTTACAGAAAATTTTCAGTGTTCATTTGCTCTTGTGATTCTACAATTTCCCAGTTTTTCTCCATTTCCTATTTATCTACAATCAAAACTAACCAAAGAGAAAGCATTAAAAAGTAGCAAAGGGAAGAAATGATTAACCCTAATGCTTGAGGCCAAAATATAAAAGCAACAAATAATCTAATTTTTTTCAATCTGAAAAACTGAAATAGTATCAATTCAGGGAAATGATATGAGCATAAAAGCAATTCATTATTACTATCACATTTATTGTTTTGAAATCATATTTGCAATGTGAAGAGGATAATCACAGAACGGTGAGATTTAAGGAATGAATGTAAATTATTATAATAATTTCTATCCTAGTGGTAAATTCAATAATTTTTGTGAGAAATACTTGAGGGAAAACAAAACTATGAAGTACATGAAACTCCATGGGACTGGGGAAGTGTGACAAAAGCAGTTATGCCAAAGATGAATTTCATAAAACTGGCTATCCCAAGACACACTTCCAGAATATCTTACCTGTCAAATTGCCTGAAAATATCAAGACTGACTGACAAGCCTTTTTGTGATCAGAAGGTACACATTTACAAGTTATCCAGTTTTTCTAAGAGGTTGAAATATTCAAAGATTAGTATAATCATAACCCTTCAAAACAGTCAAATGCAGCTAGGGTAGACACAAGATGAAACTGTCAAGAAAGGTAGCTTGTGCCATACTGTATAGTTGTGTGAAAGAAACCACTGAAAAAGAAACCTTTGGGAACAATGCATTAGCATTTAAACTCTCATTACTTTATATTCTAGTAAACCCAGTCATTCCAGCAAGCCCACTACATAGCTTCATAGTTAGGAGCCTATGTCACACAGGGGATGGTATCTGAGCCCATCCTCAGGGTGATCCAGCAGGGGCAGGGACTAGGGTGAA